AGCAGCAGCAGCAGCAGCAGCAGCAGCAGCAGCAGCAGCAGCAGCAGCAGCAGCAGCAGCAGCAGCAGCAGCAGCAGCAGCAGTACCTTGGGAAGGTTCTGCTCGCAAAACAAGGAAAGCACAACAACAGAACTCCCCTTAATCTGCACTTGGGACAAATCGCCGAGGCGCTTGTTGCTGCCTGCACAAAACAATTTGCTTCGGAATTAAAATAAATAAAAATAAAATAAAAACAAAAATAAAATAAAAATAAAAATAAAAATAAAAATAAAAATAAAAATAAAAATAAAAATAAAAAGAATTTGCAATTAAAAGAAAGGAGGCTGTGGGGTGGGGCGCTGGGGTGTACGTCCACCTTGCACTCGAATTTCTTCAAAAGCTTCCACTTGAGGTCTCGATAAATTCATTTCTTTTAATTTTGCTGCCAAGTGCTGCAGCAGTTCATTCATTTGCTGCTGCGCTGCTGCTGCTGCTGCTGCTGCTGCAGCCTCCGCCGCCTGCAGGTCGAAGCCGCCCGCGGCCCTGCCGCCCCGCCTGTGCTGCTGCTGCTGCTGCTGCTGGACGACGACGACCTGCTGCTGCTCCCGCCAACTCCCTGCTGCTGCTGCTTCTTCTTCTCTCACAACATTTATTTTCTTCAACATTCTTTTCATCTTTTTCTCTTTTGCAGATTCTCCTTTTGGTTTTCCCCCGCTGAAGTCCCGGGCCAGGGGGGCCCCCCAGCTGGCCCTGGGGGCCCCCCCTGGACTTGGCTGGGGGCCCCCCAGCCCACATCTTTCGCCCCCTACTAAAGCAGCAGCAGCAGCAGCAGCAGCAGCAGCAGCAGCATAAGACCTCCCTGGGCAGCTGCAGCAAAGTGCTCGGGGGGCCCCAGTGCTGCAGCAAAAGTAAGGGAGGGCCTCCTTTCCGAGGCAGCGGAGAAGAAACATTTGGGGTCTCTGCATATTCGTTCGCTGTCTCTGTGGGCTGCTGCTGCTGCTGCTGCTGCTGCTGCTGCTGCTGCTGTTGCTGCTGCTGCTGCTGTTGCTGGTGGAGCAGCAGCTGCTGCTGCGTCGGCTGCAGGTGCAGCAGCTGCGTCGCTCGAGCCTCAGAGGCGCAGCGCCATCCGCTGCAGCTTGGGTGTAAGCGCTGCCCTTCCTGACAGTGCAGCAGCAGCTGCTGTCGCTGCTGCTGCTGCTGCTGCTGCTGGCTGCTGCTGCTGCTGGCCGCTGCTGCTAGTGCTGCTGCGGGCTGGTGAACTAGCAGCAGAGCCCACACAGCGGGCAGAACTGGCAGCAAAAATGAAGTGCAGCAGAGGCTGTAGGCTCTGCTGCTGCGAGGCGCGCACAAGAGCCAGCAGCAAACTGCTGCTCTGGGTCTTCGGCGCAGCGCGGACTGCGCAGCAGCTAGCCAGCTGCTTAAAGCCACTTAAAAGGAGCTTTAAAAGCCCTTTTTGAGCTGCAATTGAGAAGTTTGAAGCAGCAAAAAGGGGAATTTGCAAAAGAAAAGAAGAGGGAGTGGCTTGAGTGTCTGGCTTGACTATCGACCCCGCAGGTTGGGGCTGGAAGTCGCCGCATGCGGGTCCGGGCGCCGCGACAAAGGTTTCTAAGTGTTAAAATGAATACAAATAAATAAAATTGATGAATTGTAATTTGTTTTTCATGAAATAAAGGCTTTTGACGGACAGAAGTTGCCGCTGCTCCCGGCGGCTGTCTCAGCGTGCACTCGAGGTGTCTCGAGACTCCCCTGCGGCCTCCTCAGTCGCCGTTCAAAAGTGTGAAATTTGCAACTTTTATTTAAATAAATACTTTTTAAACTGCAGGAATTATCAAAATGACATTAGAAGGACGGCGCAGACAGGCGTTTCACGGTTGATCGACTCCGGCTGTGCTGCCCTGAAGCTGCAACGAAACCCCAGCCCAAGTGCCAATTGCAAGTTGAAAGGCAGCAAACTTCCTTCAAAAAATGGATGTTGACAGCTTTTCCAGAAGGCCTTCACTAGGCAAAGAAGTTGGATGGGATGACATATTCAAAAATGTGAATTCTTCCGACATTCCAGTTTTCAAGCCCCCCGTGCCCCGTGTACAGCGCGGAGCAGCGGGAAACCCGGGCCAAATCCGGCGCTATTTTGCCGCTTTTTGAACTTTATTTTGACTTTTTTGTCTAAATTGCATGCAGGTCTTCAGCAAAAGGTCCGAAACTGACGGAGTCCACGAAGACTCAGGTCCTTCTCGAGTTCCCGCAGCCCCAGCGCATTTGGCCAACTCTGGGGTCTTCTACGTGAAGCTGCAGCCAAGCAAAGATTTGGCAATTCTCGCCTCGGCCTCCGACGAGGCCATTCAGGCCGTCAAAGTCCGCCACTTTGCCAAATTTTGAATTTATTTTGTCCTCGAAGTTCTCATTTTAGTCCTCAAAGTTCTCATTCAAGTCCTCAAAGTTCTCATTTCACTATTTATTTCAATACAAATGAGTTTCTGGCTCGAAGACTGAACCCACGGGGCTTCTTTGCTGTCATTTTGCTTAGTCAAATGAAGCTAATCAGCCCACCCGCCCCGTTGTCGCGAGCAAATTGCGTAATATTAGAATAATTGAATAATAATAAATATATTTGCAACATAAATAATATTATTATTACATAATTCTCATGATTATTGATTGAAAACGGTCAGAAGTTTCACCAAGAGCGCACACCCATAACACACGTATATGCCCACTGCAGCGAGGAGGCAAAGAACTGTGGGAAAAGTTGAAGAATTAAGAAGAAATGTGTTGAAGTTTGTTTTAAAATGTGGAATTTGTTTTGTTTTTCACCGCAGACCCTCGCAAACGCCCTGGGCCACCGCTGGCGCTTCGTAGGCCGCTACCGGGTGCCGCGGGTTTCGCCGGCCGTGCGGCTCGTGGAAAGCCCGCTGCACCAAAGTGACCTCGAAAGACGCAGTTCTGCACAAGACGGAGCTGCTCGCTGGAGTGCAGCTTCTCAGGCGCCCCCAAAGGCCTTCGAAGGAATGAGCAAAGAGCCCATCTTCGACCCCTTGAGCGTCGAGCCCCCCGAGAAGTGCTCCGCGGTCTTCAGATTCGTCGACGGAGTCATGCAGGTAACAGCCATTTCCAGTGGACTTCAAAGAAAAAGGTCAAAAAAGGGATATTTTAAGTCGCGGGGGGGCGCTGGATGCAAAGAACAAGACAGATCCTTAAGTGGAAACAGAACTCAGTGGAAACTTGCAGATTGCTGGTGATGAATTGCCGCGTGGAAGTACAAATGGGGTTGCAGGCGGCTCAGGCTCTGCATATTTTGGCTTATATGTGCACGCTGGCTAGTAATTTCGCTTTGAGTTTCTTCTAAGTGCTGTTTTGGAGTGAGAGGAAGCAGAGAGCTGAGGCTGTGTCTGCTGCTGCACCGGCGCGCTCTGAATGTGAACAGAGAAGAGGCAGTCAGCACCTCAGCCAAACATATTTTGTGTTTTTGTGTGCTGGAAATTCTTGCGTAAGTCCGAGCTCTTAGGCAATTCACTTCTGCTCGTTTCTGCGTTCTAGGTGTACTGGGACCCTGCACAAGAAAGACCGGATCCGCCTCTTTTGTGGAGTGCAAATTCGATTCCAACAGTCAGAGAATATCTCGCGGCATTGCAAGATGTAATGATTGCAGTGCAAGATCCAGGTAATTAGCGGAAGTGCTGGCTTCGTGCGTGCCTGCAAATGGGGCAGCGCATGCAAACAAAGCTGCCAGTGTTCGTGGCGTTGCAGAAGCGTTGGTGCGCTCATGTTTTCATTTAATGACTTCATAATGGGTGTGGTGTGGACTTCGCATCTTCATTGTAGCTTTTCGTCGGGAGTTGCATCAATGAATTATCTGCTGCTGCACAGTGGGGCTGCAGTGCGGCTTGGGGTATTCATTTTCGTCTTTCTTTCGCACCCGTCTCATCTCCTCCTTTGCTTGCGTTTCTTCTGTTCCTTGTGATGAGCAGCGTGCAAGACCTTTTGCTACAGACGAATCAAATTTCTGGAGGGAAAGTTTAACTTTCACTTGATGTTCAATTCGAGTATGACGCAATGAATGCACTATCGCCACTACATCCCGTCTTTTAACATTTCAAGTAGTTCTGGTTTGAATTTTGATCAGTTTTATAGCAGCTGGTTTCTGCAGAACTTTGAAACAGGATAAGGGTTAGTCTCATTTGTTCCTACTGGCTGGGATTTTACCCCGAAAGCACAATTCGTGGCTGTGCAAAATCTATATTTGCTGCTGCTACACATCTTATTGACAGGCGCTGAAGTAGAGGAAACCAAAAACAACAAACACCGGGACTTCTACAATGTAAGAAAAGTGGACACGCACGTCCACCATTCGGCATGTATGCATCAAAAGCATTTACTACGCTTCATCAGGTGGGCTTGGCTTCTCTCTCCGCTTTCGTGCGTAATGATTAAGTAGCTCATCGTCAATATTCAGGATCCCATTTCAAAGAAAAATATATTAGCGCCACACGGAATTAACAAAGGAGTATTCCTTAGACACCCATGTGCATTTTTGTCTGTACAAATCTGTATATCAATCTAGCAAAATGTGCATTTTGCTGGCTGCCCCTGCTTACATCACCTTACTTGGTGTATCTGCATACGTACAAACCTGTGGGGCCATGACTTCCGCACCGTTTGCGCCTTCCTGTTGATTGGAACTTAGTGCGCTTTCTACGAGCTTGTGAGCAGGAAGAAGTACAGAACAGAGGGCGACACAGTAGTCGCTACAGAAGATGGCCAGGGCATAACGTTGAGGGATTTGTTTCAGAAAGAATTGGGGTTCAGTGCAAGTGAAGCGTCAGTTGATCACCTGAATGTCCACGCTCTTGGTGAGAGTGCGAATCCGAATGGCGACTTGAAATACACAATAGTTGCAGTAGAAGTTCGAGTTTAAATTGCCGGACGCAAGTTTTCCCTGATGACTTGACGAGTGCCTTCTCAGTGGGCCGTTTTCCTATAGGAAACTCGCGGTGGTTTTCGTCTTTTTCAGACTGTGGGTTCAGTGTCTTGTGGAGACTGTTTTTAGGTTCTTGTTTTCAACGCTTTGATCTGTTTAATCAGAAGTACAATCCGTTTGGTCAAGCTAGGCTCCGAGATGTATTCCTCAAGACCGATAACCACATCAAAGGTAACTCATATTTCATATTTTTAGGCACTTTTGTTCTTTTCCTTCTTGCCCTTCTGTACTTTTGCGCAGCAGGGGGGAAACGTTTGCTTTATGTCTGCCGGGTTTCCTTCAGGCCGCTTTCTCGCAGAGTTGACGCAAGAGGTCATTGCAGATTTGGACGATAGAAAGTACAACACCTTTATGTTGAGCCTCCAGTTGGCGTTTTCATACAAGTGCTTACATTGTGACATTTATGTAATATGATATTCATGCGTTTATGATCTGCTAGCGAGGAGATTTTGCAACTGTCTGACAAAGTCATCAGATATTCCAAGTTGCTGTATTGAGCAAATGGTTTGCATTTGCAATGTCAATTGCCAGGTCGACGCTGTTCGCCCGCGTAGCTTTACTTGTTGCCTGATTTGCTTAGCGATGATCTGTTTCCTTGCCATTTGAACCTTTTGTGGGTTAGTCATGTCAGTGGTATGGTTCGTTTCCGCTTAAAATAGAAGCAGGACGACTAGGGATATGCAGTGTGCTCATTTAATATTTACGTTTGTACTTGCCTCAAGCTGTCAGCTGTCAGTTCATGGTAGCCAGCATCTTCATCACGCGCGAGGCGCAAAGAAGACAAAGCGGAAACGCCAGCGACAAAGGCCTTACTTTTGGGGGATCGAATATCACTGTATGCTCAAGAATTTTCCCGTTGTAGCCTGTTGTTTTTCCGCAGATACCAGCATGCAGAATGGCGCGTATCAATTTACGGGAGATCTTACGAAGAGTGGGAAAGGCTAGCTGCGTGGGTGGTGGACAACAAACTTCACTCTCGCCGTGTTCGCTGGATCATTCAAGTTCCGAGGTACATATCTGGAAGCGCTGTGGCACGCAAATGGCAAATTGTAGCGCGGAGAGCTAGACTGGCGTCGTCTGCTGATTACAGCCTGTGCACTTTTCGCGCCTCATGATGAGCGGAAGTACAAGCATGGGAATTCACGTTTTGCCTTTGCCTGTGTGCCGCCCAGCGGCTCAGAACTGCAATGTCACTATGTTGTTTGCCTGTTCTGTGCCTTTTGCGTTCCTTGTCTGCGTGTATGTCCCCGTTCTATTGTCATCTTCATGTGCAGCTCTGCAATTTTCTCTCTTATGTGCGCACGCGCGCCCGGCTTTGTCGGCTCTTAAGCATAGTTTGCCTCAACATTTTCTGCGACACTATCCAGTCCGCCCTTCTGTTCATTTTGTTTTCTGTTGCGTTATTTTTTTCTGCCTTAGGCTCTACCACGTCTATAGAAAGCGAGGGGAGATACCTAACTTTGGCACGCTGCTGAGAAATGTCTTCGAGCCATTGTTTGATGCTGTGAAGGATCCCCAAAAGCACCGCAAAATATTCTTATTTCTGCAGGCCGTAAGGCAGTGCTGCGGCTATTAAACATTTGTGCATGCATGGAAACTCGTGCGCCACCGTCTTGTGCGCAATCGCCCTATATGGCTGCGACGAGAATTCATAGCGCAATGCTCACATGAAATCATCTGCAGCTGCCGCCAGTCCAGTCGCACGAGCAATTTTTGCTCTGCGTCTCAGCCCTTGTTTGTCAGCTACAGTGCAGTTTGTGAAGTGCACGAAGTGATTATCCATTTTGTGAACTGTAGCGTGCATGAGTGCATCGGTTTTTGTGGTCACACATCTAGCTGCAGCAGTTTCACACTGCTGCCGAGCATTTTTCCTTCAATTATTTCTGTGTAACTGCGTTTTTAGCTTACTGGGCCCACTCTTCATTAGCATGCGCTTGCCGACTGCTGCAGATGGTGGGCTTTGACTCCGTTGATGATGAGTCCAGGGTTTCTAAATATACGATGGAGGGCGGAGATCTGCCACCTCCTTGCGAATGGACGAGCTATAACAATCCCCCATATTCCTACTGGATATTTTACATGTATGCGAACATTCGCGCGTTGAACTTGTTTCTTGAGGCCAGAAATATGAGGCCTCTTAGCTTCAGGTCAGTCAGTTTTTTGGCACCTGCCCACTCGACTTATGACATTTATCCACAGCAGTCCATGTATGAATACGGAATACAAAAGATTTGTTCGCAGCAAGGTGGACATGGAAAAACCTGCATGGAGTTTTGTACTTAAAACACGAAGTAGAGAGTTTGTGCCAGAGTGAAATCAGCTGCTTGAACTTGTGGTGTATCTGGCATTATCTTGAAGATAGGGGCGTGTTTGATTTACTTAAGTTGTACTAAATATACTTTTGTTGTGCGAATGCTGCTCGAAAATTTGCATGCAGTCTTAATGCTTGAGCATGTGGTGTAGTATTTCGAGATTTACTTTTCAGGCCGCACTGTGGAGAGGCCGGAAGCACTAGTCATTTGGCGGCGGCATTCTTGTTAGCCGACGGAATAAACCACGGAATTCTCTTGAAGGGGGCCCCCGTCTTGGAATATATGTTTTATCTTAAGCAGATCGGCATTGCAGTTTCTCCTCTTTCAAACAACGCTCTATTTGTCGACATAGGTGCACTGCCCGCTTGTCGGCTTTTCTTGTGTGTATTTGCATCGATTGCTTCATTGCTTTTCCCTTTTCCTGCCTTCTAGACACGTCATGTCCCTCTGTTCGTGTTCGTGCTCACAGTTGTCTCTGAAGTGAACACAGCTTTTGCTTGAATTGTTGTTACTTGAAATGGGCTCGTACCAAATGGCGCAAAATGCTGAACCGTTAATACTGGTGTTGTAAGCGAAGGGCTCACCCACGACGACAATTTTTGTATAATGCGTAGCCCGAGCACTGGCGCTCCTCACGTGAGGGGCGCCCCACTAATCTTGCTAAGTTTCTTATTCTCTTTTTTTTACTGCTTTTGCCTGCAGCTAAGAATCCTCTCTACTCTTTTTTCAAGATTGGCCTGAATGTGTCGCTCTCCACCGATGACCCCTTGATGTTTCACTTTACTGATGAGCCTCTTCTGGAAGAGTATTCGATTGCAGCAGTAAGCTGCTTGAGCGTGAACGCTTCATTATTCAATTGATTCAGCAACTAGTGTTTCGATGCTGATCTGAAAGACGCACGCCGAAGCGCATCGCGAGGCGACAACCGCTAAAGCAATGCATTGCGTAGTTGAATGCATACATATGGATTCGATAATTGAATTAAGTGCGACCTTTATGAATTATGTCCAGACACAATGCTAGTGTTAAGCAAAGTGACTTGACCTTCTTTAGCTCAAAACCTGTTTAGTGTTTTGTGAGCATTGTGTATTTGCAGCATGTATGGAAGCTCTCTCCTGTGGATCTTTGCGAACTCGCAAGAAATTCTGTACTTCAAAGGCAAGTCTGTTTATGCGGGTTCATTTTCTCTTGCCCATCCATTCATCTTGCATTCGGAAGGGAAGAGCTGAGCAGAAAAGGACGGAGGCTAACGCGAGCATACGAAGATCTAGAGACGGTCCTCACAACAAATAAATTATGCGGAGCTAGGGATAAAGGCAGCCAAGCAGGAGCACACTTTTGTGAAAGCTTCCAGAGCAGTAGAAATGCGCAGGAAGACAAAGATACAAACCAAAATAGGTTCAGATTGTCATGGAAAGGCGTGGATAGAAAAGCGAGACAGCAGCCGCGCAGAAGTACACAAATAGTTAAAGGTACAGACAAACCGACACAAAGAGACGCGCACGGAAAGACTTAGGTGCAAGCAGCAAGAAACGGGTGAAGAGCCAAGAGTACTTGTAGGCCGATGCAAAGGAGGAGGACCTAGACGGGTCCTGACACTCGCACGCAGGCAAACAAGAGACATATGTAAAAAGTCTGTATGCCCGGAGCAAACAGCATGAAAAAGGCAGAGAAAGAGTCCAACACAGGCACTCACGCAGAAGTAGGGTTCGGAAAGTGCCGGCAGATGGATGCGGAAGCGTGTTGATGAGATATGCGCAAGAGGCTGGGACAGGCAAATTTTCACATATTGTCTCACGAGCAAATAGCATTTATAAGCAGGCCACACTATTCTGCCGGATTACGAATTGCGGATGGGGGGAGTATCTTTGTGACTGTGTTAACTTTTTGGATTATCGCTAGAGGGTGTCAGCGTCTCCGTGCTCTTCTCATGGGGCGCGAGTTGGTTGACCTATTTCGTCGGCCCACCCTCAGGGCTGCCGTTTGTTGTGTCTTATCTGTTTTTCTGCTTTTTTGTGTTCCGTTTCCCTTTTGCTGCTGCCGTGTTGACGTCCCGCCAGTGTTCTGTCTCGCATGTGATTGGTTCCGTTGGTATCCTGCTCTTCGCTAGCTTGTATCATACCAATGCGTTTGTGCTGTTAGTGGGTTTGAAAATGAGTTTAAGAGACACTGGCTAGGAGATAGTTACTGGTTGCCGGGGAGCGAAGGAAACGACATGCGGAGAACGAACGTCAGCAATATCAGACTCCAATATCGGTAGGATTTTGCCGCGGCTGCTGCTTGTTCTTTCTGGACTGTGCCAATGTTGAAAACAAGCGCGCTGTTTTGCTGTTACTCATGCAAGCTTGTAGTGCCCATCTGTCTCAGCCGATACACCTAAACGGTCGTCCTTGTGACGGTAATGTGTTAGCCGTTGCCTTCTCTTGGTTTTGCTGGTTGTGTTCTGCTTAGGATTGACACCTGGAGGGAAGAACTGGAGTATATGCGCGAGATCTTGAACATGAGGATAGTCTTAACAGCAAACCAGCAGCAACAGCCGAGTATCACTGGCCCGATTGCTGTTGCCCAGACGCCTCCGTCCAATCATTTCCTGCAGGTTCCCCACGGCATTCCCTTGAGAGTTTCTCAAGAGCCTTGTATTTCCTCTCCAGCCTACACGGTGGAAACGGCCTTGTCGCCTCGCGGGGCCGACCGTCAGCATCCGTCTCGTGTCCCCCCTTCCCCACATAGCGATGCTATCTCACCCAGTCTAGGGCCTTCCAACCCAAACTCTGTTCTTTCCTCTCCCGACATGGCGATGCAATGTGGACCTGAATTGCAGAGAAGACGAAGCATTGCAGAGCAGGAGCTGGATGAGCTTTCGTGTGCAGCAGAACAGCTCACGCTCTCAATGAAGCTTAGCCTGCCACCGTCGCAATCAGAACAGCAAAAGCCTTAGATTGCAGACAGGCATCAAACGTCTTGGGGCACAGTGCGATGCATGAGGCCTCCAAGCAGGGCTTGGCTTCGCTGTAACTCATTTGTCTTAAGAGTGTTCAGCGGATAAGCGGGGCGTAAGACAGAGTGCAACCATTGAGCGTTGCTTGCTTGTCCCCCTTGTGCAGTATCTCGCCGTGTTTTCCACCGACAAACAATGAATTAGAAATAGCTGTGATTCCATATATTTGCTGCAGAGAAGAAACGAGGTGCGCCTCTTGCAGTGTAGTGGCCAGGTCACAATGCACCTGCATTCCGTACTTAGTGGGACAAGCCTATGCTAGAAAAGGCCGCCTTTCGATACAATGCTGCAAGCAGTTCTTATTTGGGAGTACGTATGACGAGCGGTTGAATACGCTTGTTAGTCGTACTTATTCATATTCGTTTCGACCATTTGCCCATGCGAAGTACGGTAATGCACTGCTCATTCTGTTTGTTATGTAGACAATGCGCTCAACCGCAGTTGTGTAGTCACCGCGAGTAAGAGCCAGAAGCGGGGTCGGTTCAACATATTTAGCGAGCGCGTCTAGCTTATTCTTTAAGTCCATCTACTGGACAATGTGAAGAGGCCACTCATCGAGTTACTTCTTTCAACTTGCCATCACCTGCACAAAGTGACGGTTGCAGTGATGGAACGGGGTTTGTAGGTGGCATCACATTCTTGAAACAGGCGGTTAAGGCCGAGTTTTTTCTGTTCCATCCAAAAGTGCATCTAGCTAGTCTTAGCGAGCTTCACGAGGGTTGTTGATTCCCTCGTGACCTTCCTATCTCCTTACCATCTCCGCTGTAACGGAAATAAAGTCCATCAAAAGGCGCCTTCAGAGAGCGAGCGTCTTCATTTACTGTATTTAGAGCACCTTCTTCTCATCTTTGTATCTTCAGGATGTCAGCATAAGCTTCACCGTGGCAGCAATGTGACGAAATGTGCAAGTAAGAAATAACGGACTAACCACAAGAGGGAAGGAAAGATCTTCCTAGAACTGCAGCTTACTCTGGCACCTTTTAAAAGATTTGGTATTTCCGGTTCATAAGAACACTGCAGAGGATCACGTGCAGCGGCCTGTACAGGTATGTCTCTAGAGCCAATATACTTTAACGTGGATGCTGTCGCAGCGAATCATTTGCTCAGCCCTTGCAGTCCTCTAGTTCTACCAGAGCTCATAACCCTCCGAGCGCTGAAGCACGCTGAGTAGCCCCTGCCTCTGTTTAACGTATCCAGTGAACTGCGGAAGAAAAATTTGCCCGATAAAGTGAAGGATGGCCAAGCCGATTAGGAGCTCAACAGCACCATTTGGTATTCTCCACACAGACATATCCAGCATGCTTGTGCAAATAAAATGGCCCCCATTCTTTACCTTGCGTTTTTATAGCCATAATTTGGGTTTCGCTGCTTCCACCACACGCTGAAGAAGAGCGAATTGGAGCATCAACTGCCTTTTTTTGCGTCGTTCGCCATGGTCTTTTCCTGTGGGCATGCGACTCAGGAGTGAGCGGGGTCGAGACAGGAATGCTGAATGCTGCCGGTGCTAGCAGACACCTTTCACCTAAGAAAGAAATGCCGCTCCCCCGCATGACTAGCAGCACCAAGCGTAGCTAGGGGCCTCTTACGAAATGGCATAACGCAGTTACCAGTCCGGCCCACTGTGTGCTTCACAGGAGTCACGCATACAAGATTTGCATTCTCACAATGGTGAGGCTGGCTGGCAAAGTGCTTCCGTTATGCTAGGAGGGGGCATTTCTTTGGCTTTGGAGTAGTCAGAGCCTTCGTGTACTTAGCAGCATTTTTTTCCGCATATGCTTAAAGCAGTGTCTAAATATCGGCGTGGCATCTCATTTTCAGTGGAAGTTATTCCTATGTGACGAATCCTCCATCACTGCAGCGCTCACGCTGTCTGCTCCCGGTACTGAATGCCCTTTCCAATAAGGGTCTGCCTGCTGTGTTGGTTGCTAAAATAGGGCACGTGTATGCCACTTTTGTCACAAAGTCAAACAATCTGTACGCACCGACGAATAGAAAGAATGTTTCCGTTTAGCGCAGCATAAGCCCGCTGCCATTTTTATGCAACTCGTGGAGTTTCCGAATAAGATAAAACAGGCAGGCGGAACGAATGAAGTAAGATGCTTAGAGAAATAAAAGCGAACGCTTATGGGTGATGTGCAACGGCAACGGTCGCTTCTGGCTCCTGGCCAGAAGTTGCAATTGGCAGCAAATGCAATTATCGCAGCGGCCCTCATATGAAAATACTAGTAATAAGGTGGACGCTGTGCCAAACAGTCTACGCAATACAGGTTGTCGTCATATTCCACCTCAGTCCTCTGCATGGGCTTCAGTAACCCTCAAGAATCGTCGACTACAGGTGTGCTGCTCTCCATGCAGAGAACTCGTGTTGCCGTCCACCATATGCAATCAAAGCAAACTTCCCACGAAGCTAAAATCATAAGCAGAGATACACTCGTATACGAAGCTGCCGACGAAACAATATAAATGCGAGAGAATCTGAACCTGCTCTAAGGCACTGAAAAAAATGAAGTACTGTGCTATGCGGATGAGCTCGCTCACCAGTTGGGGCAACCGGATCCGGATTTACCGGGATAGATTAACCCTTCAGAAATCCCGTTTAACAATGCATACCGATTTAAAAAATCTCAGTATGATGTTTGTGGTCACAACCTGGAGCGACAGCAAATAGTCAACGGGCTTCCGGTTACACGTCTGAAAAAATCTGTACACAACTTTGGTAAACGCACCTTCCATTCGCATAGCTGTAAGGTTTCACGCCGTATTTTACCGCCTTCCACTTCGCTGTGAAATGAACGAAATTATGGCAGGGGTGTATCCTCAAGTGCAATCAATATGGTAAGCATCATCAACTGCAATCAGTATGCCTAAAACCACCAAATGCATTCAATATGGCAAACAACCAGACAAAGCGTCACAGAGTAAAAGCTGTCACGCCCGTAAAAAACAATGCAGATCGAGGGCCAATCAAGCAATTTCTGTTCCATTGAGAGGCGACGCTACTCAAGAATAGTTTCATGGTCAAATTCGCAGGGTGCAATCAGAAGGCTGGAAATATACGCTCATGGACTTCTGCTTCTGCATCAACGTGATTTGTCCAGGCCAGTACTCCTTCGGGCTCCCAAAAGTTTACGAAGTAAAGAAAAGCGCCCCCTTGTGAATGGGCTCCCTTGTGAGGCTCTTGCTGCGCCCTCAGTGGTTCCCTTTTGTAAAATTCCATGTGCTTTTTCTAGAGCTTTCGACAACTTGAAGTTTTGCGATTCAAGTCTTTCGATTATTCGCCGTGCCGAAGGAGCCATCAAAGCACTCCGCATCTGCAAAGCATACATGGATGCATCTTTTTGAAGCAAGTGATAATTTGCCACACTTTTCCGTATGGTTTTGAGGCCATTTGTCGGTGAATTAAGCTGCTGCAAGAGGTCTTCCGTTGCACTTTGCGTGCTCGTCAGGAACTCTTCCGCTACTTTTAGGGCTTCGTCGCTGTAATTTGGAGGTAGCGCACAATTTCTTCCCCTCACGCCATTAACTACAAGAGCGGCTATGCTTAAGGCATTCGCTGCTGTGATTGATATTTTTTGGTTCTGTATGCGGTGCCTTAGAAACAGCTTGAGAGAAAGGGCCTTCTGCAGTTTCTGCTGGGTTATCGAATACATTGTACTCCGGATCCGCCTGAGTGTTACGTGCAGTGCCTTCATTTGCTTTTCAAGTGCTTGAATCCTTCGATTTGTCTCCTCTAGCTCTGTGGATGAGTTCCCGCCTACTTCTTTAGCGAGTTTAGCTTCGAGCGATTCCAACTGCTTCCATTCTTCCGCTAACTTCCCCAAAGTTGTCCAAGCTCGATGCTTATCGCTTATCATTTCTTTTATCCCACTCCTCGCTCTAAGTATAAGCTGGATTTCAACATACTGTAGGTTCTTAAGATCCTTGCAAGAGAGATTTAGAGCTTTCCGTTGACGTCTTAGTTCTGCTTCTTCGACAGGGGGCGTCAATAAGGTTTTTGCTACACCTTGTGAGGAAGCTTCTTTGATATATAAGCAGTTCATGTCCAGCCTCTGACTGGCAGCAGTGGAAAGTCGTGCCGCAGGAGCCTCTAGAACGGGCGCGTTGGATGTTGAATTTGTTGAAGGGCGTCGGGCACGGACATCCTCCATGCTGCTTTCTTCTACGCAAGCCATAATCAAGCGAGCGCGTGAAGTCGATAAAAGGCGTGCGTAGTTGCCTCCATGTAGCGGCCTGTACATGCTTAGCTCTTGCATGCACCAGAAGCCACGCAATATAAGATAGACTGTTGCTGCGAGGAGTACAAGGCTTATTGTATTTGTTATGCTCAGGCAGTCTTGGGATCCACATCTGCGGGGACCAAGGAAGAAGTACGGCTCTTTTTCCCCAGTAAAAGTATTTTCTCCGCCTTTCACTTGGAGAGTTTGAGTGCCAGGATTCTGTGAATTCATCATGGCACCTCCTTGCTGGGAACGGAGACAAGAGGGTAAGAATGTTTGAGATAGTCATGGGTCCCAATAGCGGACAGCTGCACGAGTTGCTTCTCCACACTTTCCCCATAAAGCGATCTGGTTCAAACGCAACTATCGTCGATCTTGTGAAGGTATTTAAGCCCAGCTTATCCAAGGAAGCTTTCATAAGAAGAACTTCAGAAGGCTCATTGGCTCGTCTAGAGGGGGGAAATTACGGCTCTTGTGAAACCGTGGCTTTGCCCAGCGGTAATTCCGCTGCTCCACTGAGCCCAATTGAAGTTGGGCTTTTATCGACTAGAGATTGCGTGGGGTACGGCATCTTCCATTGAGCTTCTGTGGGCTTGGAGTGTAAATATTGATATTACTTCCTTGATCTCTCCCTAAGCTACGATCCTTTACGCGTTTCTACGTGCTGCGGGCCGCTCCATTGCTCACAAGAGCTGAAGCTCCTCCCTTCCAGCTGAATCCTTCGGTGCCGTTCACTATTTAATTGTTCCCTTCAGGCATTTGCCGAGTTTTCATACCAAACCTCAGCCATTTACTCGGATTTCCACAACTGTGCAGCATTGCTGCCTACGTATTGATGGCTGCAGCCGTACAGTGTGTTCAATGGGGAATCCGCAGATCCACTCCCACAGTGCCGACTCTTTTCAAGAAACACCTGGACTTTCAAGGCATCATGTTCAGTACATTAGTCTATTAATTGATTTAAAACTTTTGGCTGATCGCAGGGGATATAATTTAGCTTGCTAGAAGAACATGCGGGAGCTGGACTCCTCCCCAATTTGACACCATCGTCCTGGAGCCCACCGGTGCCCGCTGGTCTCATGGGTAGCAGTCTATGAAAAACTGCAGCTTCTCTGGAATTTTCGCATAACACAGCCTCTATTTTGCCTTCATTAAAGATGTACGCATCCCGATTCTGTATTTCCCAACACACGTTTATTGCTTTCATTACAGGATCCAACTTACTGCGTGCAGGCGTGCACACTCCACCGGCAATTGCATACTGCACTCAGTAGCTCTCAATTCATGCTGAAGAATTGTTCATTCTTTTTTTCACTGCTGAAGTTCGAAGTCGCCATTCTTGTAGGGGTGAGTCTCGCGCCAGTGTTTGCAGAAGGTCCAGAAAGCCTTATGACGACACCCAGGAACCCGCAACGGCGTCCCACGTTGAAGGCAGTACCACCATTGCAGACAATGCCATCATGAAACTATTATGCGTTTCTTTTAAGAGCGATGCCTGACGATCTCTATCAGGAAACAAATGGCCTCCGCAGGGCCATGTCGGGCATGCCATCCCTATCCCGTCCAGCCCACAGCCAAAGAGCACGCTGCGTAAAATGACTACTGAGAGAAGCAGGCAGTAGTTTCTATAAGGTTTGTGATATGGGCTGACCGTACATTGCGCGTCTAGGAGCAGCCTCCCCGGAGTTCCTTCAAAGTTATCATCGGCGACTGATATCGTAAATATTATGTGGTGCAGCTGCAGCAATTGTCTCGGTAGGTCTTTCGGCGGTCCTAGCTATATGGTGTTCTAGTAAGGGAGGCACCTTGCATGGGGAGAAATCAGGCGAAGATAAACAACAGCACCTCGCTCTTACAAAAGTCACATGGCCACCTTCCCCATAATCAAGAGCCACAATGAAGTCCAGTTTTACATGAAGATGCCCCAATTTCACTAATTGAGATCCAGGGCAGTGATGCCCACTGGTATGCGAAGACCTTGGTGTAGAAACAGTCGGGTGTGTTGGTTTTGATTGGCAGAACCAGCCTTCTCTGGAAGGCAACAAGTGATAATGTAGCGCGGAAGCTCATGGTGAGGCAATTCTTGTCTTGAGGTGACTTTTGCATCGAACAGCAATTATTCGAAAGAGTCCACCTATAACTGTGCAATGGGCTATTTGCCTGTTGGGATACACAGTACCTGCTGTTACCCGCAGGTAGCTCCTAGCTGATGAACGCGGCTTGTCCACTAGCACTACAGTCAAATTGAAGAATAGCACGGGGTATCACATGCCACTCCTATTATTGATGCAGGTTCTCCATTAAAAATAAAAAAAACAAGGACCTTGTGAAGCGCCCAAACGAAGAGCACGCAGGAAAAGTGAAAACTACGCTTCATTTCCAGAACTTAATTTTAGGAACTCCAGGAATAAAAGTTATCCTGACACACACAGATGCTCAAACTGATTCTGTACAGCCCCAAGTACTTCTACCCAACGCCTCTCTATTCCTTTTGCGCGACCTTGCAGAAATAGCACAACCACGGAACTGAGGGTCGGGAGGAAGGAAAGACAAAGCAAGCAACCAAACCATTGCAGCAAGTGCCATCTATGAATGTATACAAGTGTGACTAGCTCATGCTCCACTAGAGCAGATCTGCACACGTCCGTGGAAATCTTACAAGTTAACAAATAAAGCGAACAGAAATGAGAAACAGAGGAAACCCATGACCAGATTCTATCAACCTGAGCAGTGTCTTCCCCATCGGCCGAAATTGGGGGACTAACATAGAGGAACTTCGGCCCCTGCGTGGACAAATGCCTTCTTGAAGAACAATATGAAAAACTGGACCGCTGTGCCCAGAAGAAACGCCTTGTAATTCTTCACCTACGCCTTGTATCCTTCGTCGCGCTGCCTTGCTGTGTCTCTTCAGAACAACCATCTTCGCTGCGTGCTCCCCAAGCACACAAATATCTGAATAAAGAACGCCCGCGTGGAAGCGCCGTTGCGTTTTCTGTGTGACTGCCCCGTAGAATCCCATCTACGCGATCTAGCTCCTTAAGAAGCTTGACCGTTTGCCCATCCAATTCCTTTAGGACAGGTCCCTTTGGTAAACTCATCGCAACACTCCGCATCATCACTGAATACATTGACACAGTAGCTCGAAGCTTTTGGTACTTCCCCACGCGTCTCTTCAAGTCGAAGTGACTACCGCTCGAACTCTGTTGTTGACGCGAAAGATATGTAACTGCTTTATCCATCTTCCCTACAAACTCCCAACCCGCTTTCAAAAGCTCCTGCTGATCTTCATCACTGAGACAATAATCAGCTGGCTGTCCTCCTTCGATGACAAGGATGGCTATGCTGAGGGCATACGCCGCTCTAAGTGATATCGCTCTTCCATTCCTTCGATGAGATGCATACTGATGTGCACAGATGCTGCGTTGCATCTGGTGCTGGACCGTCGAATGCATCGAGTTACGGACTTTCGAGAGCTGCTTTCTCTTCTGAGTGAGACTTCTGTTAACAAAGGCTAGGTTTTGTCCTGTTTCCCTCAACATGGCAGGAGAGTGTTTGTCCCAGATTTGCTTGAGTTGCGTTCTCTTTTGTTCATAGTACTGCTGTTCGAGCACTAACGAGTGCACCTTTGAAAGAGCCTTAGCCCTAAATGCCAAGATATCTTGTAGTCGTCGCCTTGCTCTGAATAAAAGCGTGCATTCACCTACTGTTAAATTCCAGTAATCAGCGAAAGGGAGACTTAGGGCGTCTATTTGGCGTCTATATTCTGCTTCTTCTGCTGGGAGCCTTTGGGAAAGGGCCCCTAAGTAGGTATTTGCACTCTCAACCGGGAGACGGCCACGCCTTTTCGTTGCATTTCCAGCCGATCCAGGAGATCTCATTGGAATCTCATCTTGCGAACGATCACCTTCGGGATCCCAAACGGAGTGCGCAAGCCGTTCACTGTTGCTGTGACCACCTTTCCGTTCCTTGCTACCTTCTTGCACGCATTCCTTCATCCAATTAGCATCATCCTCAGACAACAGGCGTTTTTGCACGCCAGTGTGCAGCAAACGGTGAGAGCTTAGCTCTTGTAAACACCAATAGCCGCCCAAGACAAGATATATTGCTGCTATGAGGGAGAGGAAACCAAGTGCATTTGAGGCGAAGAAGACGGGGCCGCCCCTCGACCCCCAATCCAAATATTTAGGTTTTACGTGTGAATCAGTTCTCTTCACGAAAAAGCCTTCCGCTGGAGGCTCTGCTTCGTGTGAAAGCGGAGTATAAATTGCAGCTGTCTGCGCATATTCCTGGGGCCCAGTCATTGCTGGGGACTGCTGGGACGAGACAGGCAAAGAGCTTGAAATTGTTCTAATCATAAAAAAAGGAAAGCTGAAAGAACAATATCTGCATGTTTTCTACCCAAAAAGCCGCAGCATCGCGCTATTTAAGGCTTGCCCTCCAGAGGTCATGGAGTTGAGCGAAGCGAACAGCTGATCCGCTCCGTGGGCAAGCCTCTGCTTGAATACTCACGTGGAGCTGAAGAGAATTTTCCAGTTTTATGACTTAAACTTCATGCAGGGGCGTGGTGTCGGTCTGTCGCAAGCATGAGGAGCCCCGCTTCTTGCGTTCAGGGGCACTCCAGCAGCCAGCCCAGGTGAACTGGATTAATTATCTGAACATGATGGCGTTACGTATGCATCTTTGCTTGAAAATCGGCATGACTGGGTCAGGAATTTTAAAAGAGAATTTCCCGCATTCTTGTTGACGTGAGTTTTCCTGTACGCCGCATGTGGGCCGCGTTGATCGATCAATTGCTGTTCGAGTTCGATGTAGGGTTTTCGCTGAGTGGCGCAGGGTTGCTAGAACTGAATTGATTGGTCCGCGCAGACATGGTATCTGCTTCGGACGGAACAGATATTATACGTGATATTCTGATGTTATTACACGCGTGCTCCCCACTTTTGATGTGTACAGCTCTCTCTGATGCACTCTAATGCTGGCCATTTGTTTTACCGCACCCCTAAATAGCAGTCAATACTGAACACGAGTTTTCGTGTTTTGCTTACGCACAGTACACAGTATACTGAAATATCCCAAATTCAGCACTCTACAAAGGAAGCTTCCACCGTGGGTAGACAACTTTTTAACCTCATGCTAGCTGCATAGCAGTGCGTTGAACGCACCGATTCCTGGAAAGTTCAGTAGGCAGACCTGGCTTGAGCCTGTGCTAAAAATAAATAAAGGAAGCTTGGCGAAGAACACAAGTGCGTGTGTCGACAGCAGATACAACGTAAAACCCTGGACCACAGCTAGAGAAAAAGCACACGAAAAGAAACACACACAAAGTAGTGCTGTTGACGTGCAAACAGGTGTAGACAGGGGCAACTTAGTGGAATACGCGAGAAGCACATGCTTTCACTGCTTTCCTTCAGTTTAGAGGACAAGTACGCGCTAACTTCGTTGTTTGCTGCTGAGACAACTACGTTCTGTAGAGCACAGTCATTTGCAGCTGCTCACTGTAACAACTCTGCAGACATTGGAAGCGTGTATGACGCTATTCTTCGCATTTTACGTTATTCTCTCATTAGTGTTATTTGTCCCCTCTCCGCTTGGATGCCTGTCCTTTATTTCCATTTTATCATTCTGATTCTCCTTCTCCGTATTGTCTCCTAGTACCCTGAAGCTAGTCAAAAAATTGTGTGGCCGCATTTTGTGTTAGTGCACCCACCGGCTTCGAGAGTCAGGTAAAGAAACGCTGGCTCTGTGAAAATTTCTGGCTGCTGCAAAAAGCAAAAAATACCAACTCTGTCCAGCTGCTGCCGCTGCTGAAGTTTGACACGCCAAATATGAGCTCGTGTGCGTCTTCCCGTCACCCCTTTTTACGGTTTCACGTCCCTTGTTATAAGCACTGTGCTCCGCATTTCTCTCAGAATATCTGGATGATTATTCGCCTGCTGGCGGCTCTATCATCTGCCCTGCCCTCTTGTTCGTTCTGTAATCAAACCTGCACTTTGGAGAAAACACTGAAGTACGTGAATAATTTCCTAAATATGAGGGAGGTGATAACATCGAACCAGCAACAATTAAATAACTTTTTCAATCCTCGTGGACCTCCAGCTTTTGCCGCGTAACTATTCCCTGCAGTTGTCCCGCGCCATCCCGTCAGAGATTATCACCGACTCCCATATTCCCTCGTCTTCTTACACGGTGGGTACGGCCTTGCCGCTTCGTGGGGCAGCTCGTCAGCATCCGTCTCATGTGTGCCCTTTCGCGCATAACGGTACTGTTTCACGTAGTGTACGGCCTTCTAACTTGAACTCTGTTTTCTCTTCTTCCGTAATGGCAACGCAATATGGGCCTGAATTGCGAAGAAGAAGAAGTATTGCATAACAGGAGCTTGATGAGCTTTTGTGTGCCGCAGAACGGCTCACGCTATCAATGGAGCTTATTCTGCCGTCGTTGCAATCAGAACAGCAAAAGCCTAAGAATGTAGAAAGCCATCAAAAGTCTTGGGGCACTGAGACATCCTAGTAGGCCTAAGTTTCTCTGGAATCTAATTTGTCTCAAGCGTATGCAGCGGATCAGCAGGGCGTAGGACAGAGTGAACTGTGCGTTGTCTGATTGTGTAATTTCTTGTTTTTTCCTCGGTTTAGCACTGAAGTGTAAATTTTTGTAGTTCCACGTACCTGTTCAAGAGAAGGAGCGCGGATATGGATGCCTCGTCTGCATGGTGTGCAGTTGCGGCTAATCATCGTCTGTCGATCCAGCACTTGGCCCAGCGCACGTGGCCCAGAGTACTGGATGATGTAAAGGTGCGATTCATGAGCTTGGCGTCCCGTACTGTTGTCATCTCGTTTGCACTCACCCAGATAGTTCAAGGTAGCAGTTGATTTGGAAATCTATCTGAAGGGACCACATGTCTTGATTTAGAATCGACAATACTGTCACGCTTGTTTTACTGGGCAGCCATTGTTTCCTATTTGCAGAGTAGCCCGAAATATACTGAGGCAACTCTTCTGTCTGCCTTCGCATGCCCTTGTGGGTAACGCTGCAAGGGCATAAACCATGGAGCTCTACATTCGCATAGATAAGCACCAGGCTATTGAAGAGCTTTCCAGAGACAAATCTAGCAAATTGCACTGAAACATGAGAAAAAAGAAAAGCTGAACAAACGGGACGTGCACTATCTTGCAAGCCTGCGCAACGTAAAAGAACTGACAGAAAATGCACAGCAAATGTCTTCTTTGTAAAAGCGGCATCACTTACATTTTTAAAAAAAAGCCATGAGTTTTCCGTTTTACCCTATCTGAGTTTTGCATAGCGGGCCTGCAGCGTATTGCTGGAACCATCGAAACCTCGCCCACTCTTAAATAGGGAAAATCTAAGTAGTGAGCGCACAGACGAAATTATTCCTTCACCCCCCATGCATGAGTCTTGCAACAATCGATCCGCCCTCTCTAAGGCTTTACGCAGCTTCAAGTTTTCCTGATCCAGGCGTTTTAGGATCTTCTGCGTTGTGACATCCCTCAGAACACTGTGCAGTTGCAAAGCATACATGGAAACGCTTTGTTGAAGAGAATGATACTTCGCCGCGCGTTTCTTTAGGGTTGAATGACTACTGCCTGGAGCTCTTATTAGCTGCGAAAGGTCTGCTGCTGCTTCCTGCAAGCTCTTCAGGAAACCTTCGCTTATTTTAAGAAGTTCACTCTCCTCATCAGCAGTGAATGCCATACTGGAGGACCGGGAGCCTTTCATCAAGAGGGTGGCTAATCCGATTGCGTTTGCTGCCTTAACTGATATTTCTCTGTTCTGCAGGCGATGAGACGCGAGTATACGGAGTGAAATGGCCCGCTGCTCCTTGTGCAGGAGCAGCAAACCCAGTACTTTACCGACATACAAAAGATCCTTTTTGCCTCTTTTGGTTAGATCTTCGAGATAGCAAAGTTTTGCATCTGTCTTCTCCAGCCTTTTAAGTGAATAATTGTCAGTTTTCAATTCAAGATCTTCTCTTAATTTTTTCAAATGTCTTCGTTCCCTCGTTGTCATGTGCAAGCCTGCAACGAGGCGAAACCTGAATGCGAGGAGGTCGTGCAGGCCCGCTTCTGCCTTTTCTAAAAGTTTTGCTTCTTGACTTGTCAGATTTTTGCGATCCTTTTTTGGCAGATGGAGCGCCTTTAGCTGACGCTTACATTCCGCTACACTCGGGGAGTGTTCCAGGAGAGCTTTCATCCAATCAGCTCTCAAGCTTCGATCTGCACCAACCTCCCCTCTCCCTGATTTACTATGAACACCGCCATAGAACACTGGTAGAGTCTCATTCTTGGCAAGGATGCTGCTGGCACGCGCAACGGGTTCTGCATGTTCAGTGCTGTTGTGAGCGCCGGATTGTCCAGTTGTACCTCTTTCTATGCATTCCTTGGCCCAACGAGAGTCTTGTATGGACAACAACCGCTTTTGCATTCCACTTGACAACAGCTGACGAGTCTCCAGCTCTTTTATACACCAAAAACCGCTCAGGACAAGATATATTGTTGCTGTGATGCAGAAGAAAATGAGTGTTTTGGATGCGAGGAGTACCATGCCGCCCTTCGAAGCCTTCGAAGCCGGATACCTATGCCTAGCGATCAAGTGCTGATCAATTTGATCAGTGTGGCTTTGGGGTAGAGGCTCTGCCTGTTCTGAAAGCAGAGCATAATTTGCAGCAGCTGACTGTGCATATTCCTCGCGCCCAGCCATTGCTGGGGACTGCTGAGACACGGCTCGCAAAAAGCTTGAAATTGTCCTGGTTGTATATTGGGAACGCCGGAGGGAAAATATTTGCTGTGAACTCACAGCTTATTAAGTCCCAGTATGTATGCTGAGCGACCTCAGTAGGCCTCGTGCAGATAAGCGAATTCAGCAGCTCATCAACTTCCGCTGTAAGCCTCTCATAGATGAGGAGAGGCATAATCAGAAAAAAAAAAAGAATTTTCAAAAAAAAAACGACCGATGTAAAACTAAGGTGCTTATGTGCTGTATGGCCGTAGCAGCCATGCGCAGCGTTCTGCTGCAGCATCGCTCCTGTGACTGTTCCTTCTAAACAATACTTGACTGAACACCATGCCTACGTAACATCACGTGCTACATGTTCAGTTTTTCTGTCTGTGAGATTAGCATGTAATGTGTAGAATCTGTGCAGCATATTTTTGTTGATGCTGTATTCTGTGGGACATGTGGTGGATCGCGATCGTCGATCAAGCGCTCGACTGCTCAGTGCTTTGCAACTTCTTGTTAACGTTAGCTCGTAAATGAACGTAGCAGTGAGGTAGTACGATTATAAAATGAACAGCACTTCAATACTTCCCTAGTGCTGCGAGCGCTTTTCGTGCTGCGCAAGTTTGCGCCTTTGTTGTGGCAAACGATTCTGCAAGTTGCGCGTGGCCAATCACGCGTAGCCATACAAACTTCTGCTCCGGGCTTCACAAGCTGCATCTGACACATTTTTTCAATGCTCTTCTTGCTAAATTTCGCCTGTAGTAATTCGGAACGCACCTGGCTCAGCTTCCCCGTGTCGTACTTGATAGCTCCCAGCCAAAAAGAGCCTGACCACTGCCGGTTCCACAGCAGCCAAATAGCTTCTCAACAAGTTTGCACGCCTCCTTTCGGCTTTCTTCGGCCTCCACTTTGATTTTAAACGCATTAATATATGCGAAATGTTCAACAGCAGCAATTTGCACCAGGCACTGGTAAACAGACAAAGCATCCTAATTATCAGCACTAGTTCTTGTTCCAGCTCAGAACCGCCCAGTTCATTGTGCACGTGAGCTCTATCGGAAGACAGGATTGGGTCAATGCCTTCGAGATACGACTCCGAATTTGAAAACTTGTCAGCATGGCTAAATATGAACGGCTTTTACTAGCGCGTGCACACCAACAAGAACGTCATAGCAGGAAAAATCCGCTCAAATTCGCGGAGACTGCCTTGCATCCCTGTTTCCGGCGTGTCAGGGCAACGTTCCTCGTGCATTTAAACCAACATGGTGCGTTAGGCAGACTTTTCTACCTGGAAGGAGAGACATTCGACCTTGATTTATTGCCTTTGGTAGGGCGGCCTCCTGGTTTAACAGAGTAGCCTACTGGCTGGAACTTACGATATTACACATTTCTCTTGAGACTTGAGGAAAATGTTGAAGGGAAGACTTCGTGTTTGCTGACTTTCGTATGGCAAGCCGCTTCGATGCTACTCGGATACTGCATCAACTTCATCTAGGACTTGTGGAAAACTTCTAAGCGGCACCCAAAGCATGAGACGCGTTGGAAACTCTTTCAAGCTGGAGCTGAAACGTGGGGGATAAGCCATTGGTCAAGCCTCTGCCAACGAAGTAGATCGTAAAAAATCTTGGGTGCGCCTCGTTTGACTGCAACCAGTCAGTATGGCGTGGGTCTACGGGATGTGTGCAGAGCTGGCAGTGTGCAACACTACAATGTGTTCGAGATAATTCGACTGACGTAACAGCTGGAAGCCTTTGTTATTCAGAGGGTTTTGTTCCACCGACGAAAAGGCACAGTGTGCTTTGAAATTAGGCCCGAAACTTGGAGAAAGCAAGAGGCACCAAAACTGCAGCATGCAGCACTCCAGCCTCCAAGCGATGTAAAATTTTGGAGCTTGCTCCTGTGCAACATTGTAGTGCCATACACTACAGCCTGTAGTATACTATAGAAATTAGACTTAATTAGAGATGTGTTATCTGGAGAAACTTAGCCGTTGCTGCAAAGTAGCCTTAAGGTGCTCTGCTAATAAGCCAGGGTTTAGCGCAGCCACTGTAACTGGCGCAGCCAGCAGTGGAACGCACACAGAAACACACGGGCGTTATCTCTCAAGGGAAAAAAGGAACAACAACAATAGCCGACGTGCTCTCTCAAGCGTTTATGCGGCAGGTTTGGCGCTAGGAAGCAAGTGTGCATCTATGTAGAGAGTCACTGTACTTAATGGACGGACTTAGTCTGGGCTGCTTACTACGACTGGGGGCCATCCCTACTTTTATATCGCTTTATACCCTATATACGGGGATCAGAACCATGTTTATACCGCTTTATACCCCATTCATAGTGGGGGGAGTGACTTGGGAGTTAGTCCGCATGATCTGGTTCGATGACCTGATTGACCAGTAAGTTCTACTAATCGGCACACCCTTCACCGAATTTCGGACTTGCTTTTTTACCAGACTCAGTGTGTGGCAGTACATATCCTACAGCTCCTCAAGAGATGGCCACAGCGTGGAGGCCCAGCGTTTTCAAAATTTTCTGCCACCGCGGCCCTCGGTATAGGAACGTAATAAAGCTTATTCCTCTCCGTTAGAAGCTGCGATAGAAGGACTACTCAGGCAGATCTTCACGGAAAATACAACCAGGAATTGCATGCCTCCCGTTATTCCCTACGTCGATCCTGCAATTATCTGGGTGCTTTTGGCGGACAAAGTTCCCACAGTTGTATGCATGTTATGCGCTGCAGCACTATGGCCTCAGATACGAGAATCTCAGGCATATTTAATGTCGAGATTCAAACTCTTACATTATTTTGAACGAATATGTATAAGGCGTGGTGAGAGCAATTAATCTACAATTGAAGCTGCTCAATATAAAGAACCTTCACACTTCTTGCCTTTCAATTAAGTTGCATGAATAGCATGTAATACTACTTCTGAGGCTGCTGAAGACTCACATATAAGAGCTACACTACAAACTGCGCACAGGATACGAAGTTTCCGCATAATTGATCCTAAACCTTGACTACGCTACCTTCGTCACGGTAAGTTGCATCTTTCCAGTTGAGTTAGAACTCTCCACCTCCACCGAATGAACGGCTCAGCTTGAATCTACGACTTCGACACACCTCGCACTTTGCTGGGAAAATCCAATTACTTCAGCTTTCCCAACAAGTGCATGACAAGGAGACAACAGTATCCTTATATCTCTCACGCGTGCTTACTTATCTAAATTTCTTATGGCCTGTTTTCTCCTCCAAGGTTAAACCAGCTTACTATGGCAAGCAATAATCGCAGGTGACTCAGCAGGAAAAGAATGCACGTTAGATAATTTCTGATGACTCGTAATTGTAGAAAAAGCTCAGTGAAAACGGATGCAGGAATATCGTTCCTCGTTAAGAAGAGCAACGAAGCATACGTCCATATCATGAAGCTGGTCAGGCGAAGTATGGCAACTCATGATGAGAATTAATATGCATATATCTTGCGAAGGTGCTCCTGCAGTCCTAAAAAGTGATGCTGTGGGCATGGATCACTAGTGACCTCTGCTAACTAATGATTAGATAAGAAACAGCAGTCAGTACCAAAAGGATTAGTTGCAGCTCCTTGAAAACCGGTTCATGCCATCTATGGCAAGAAAAGTCGTCATTCACGACGGCCCGACCAATCTCAGTAGATTATCACGATATGGTCTATCAGTTACTATTGAAGGGACTGCTGCAAAGCCTTCTTGCTCGCTTCACCTGGGTACTTGCCCGTCTTGGAGAGGGAGCCTCCATACTTATATACGGACCTAAAGCATAGGTCCATGACCTAAAGTATCAGTCTGCCTAGCAGGTACCTACCTGGAGTCACTGTGATTTTCACTAGCGTGTACGTGGTGAGGACTCTCCCAGGAGAGCAAGAAGCTGAGTCCAAGACTAAAGAGCTGCCGATGAAGTCTAGGATATGCTTGTGCAGCAAATGATCTGTCCCGTTAATCGAATTTAAAGCATGAAGCACTGTCCTGTTTTTCAGTGAATGGGCAGTAGACTAGGATAAAGCCGTAACTGCGGGGACCAGAGCGTTGAATGACTGTCCAGAGCTCTTTGTCTGCTAGTAAGAAGCCTAGTCCGTATAGCGGGGCAGAGAAGAAAATGATTATGTGCCCGAGGAAAGATGGATGGCACCGGAAATTTCTGCAGAGAAATTGCATATTCGACAATCTCTGGGTGTTGGAAGCATCAAAGAGCTGTCATGTCCCACCCTTACTTCTTGAAACGCATTGCATAGATGTTTGACCAACAACAGCTGTCCGTATCGTGAAATCTTGGAGAAGTCACGAATGCTTTTAATGTGTAGGCTTAAAATTATGTTAGCAGGGACAAATTGCAATTTTTTAAAATCTGTAGCGTTATAAAACGGGCAAGTAATGACATTCTGTCTCCTTAATTGCATATTTCCTGTGCGGACCCAACACCACCCGGCCATTGCTGACGCCGTTCAATTCTATAAATGGCTTGCGTGGAAATCCGGGCATGCAGAGAAAAAAATAAAGAGTAGTCATTCAAAGAATTGTGCATATTATCAACTTAGGAGGGCAAGCGTAGGCACTGTATAGAAGGGTCTGGAGCCAGTCTCGATTGCTTCGGCTGCCGAGGCCGTTTATAGTATGGCGTACGCCATAGTCTTCCCTGTTGGGTTACAAGGTGAAATAATTCACACACCTTTAACACAAAGGTAACAACTAATAGTTTGTAATTAACTGGGCCCAAATTAATGACGGACGGCACCCAGACACACACCGCCCTTGGTGTCTTCTTTTCATCTGTTGCCTTTAGACAGTGCTCTTGACAAGGCTTCACCAGATCCAACGCCTTCCCTGATGTGTCTTTCTTTTTTACCAGGGCAAGTTATTTCTTACTGGTTGGCTTTATGCTGTTAGACCTTTTGCGGAAGGCCACCATATCCCTTCCTAGCCTGACTGAGGGCCCCTCGCAGCTAGGAGGCCCC